TTCAGTCATGTTTGCTATACCGTAGAGCAAATATGCAGAACTCGCGGTCGTGGACCGCATGCGGCCTTACGTTCACCCGGAGAAAATCATAAAAGTGATGAAATTATAATACATCAGAACAAAATTCCTCATATGTCGAGGCACATATATATATATCCTGGTGTGCCATCAAAGACAGTTGCAATTCTTTCTTTAAAAATTACATTCTAACCGACATTGAGAAAGTGCAAGCCCATTTAAATATGAATTTAACATAAATTCAATTCGACCAGACTCTAAAGCAAAGATTTAATGCATTAATCTATTCCCGAATTTTGTAAATACTTGTGTACTTGCCTGGACGACTTCCAGAATACTGTAAATTTGCATCGTACTTAATTTCCGTTTTAGGGAGTACTTACCAATGGGAATAGCTCTTCTCACTTCGGAAAAGAAATGAGCGAGGTCCAGGTTAACAGAAAATCATCTGACCTTTGTTCTGTGCTAGAAGCATGTTTTCACACATCTTAAAATTGGTTGCAAGAAGAGGATACACGGTGTCGGGAAAGAACAGGTACAGGTGCTATTTCTGGATACCTTTATGTTCCTACACTACAGTATTGGATAAGAATTTATGTGTTTACTTACTTTTCCACTCATTTTATCACTAAGTACGAAAACGGATTTGTTCGAAACGGAAAGCTGTTTCTTGCGGCCTGCACTATTGTACATCGATGATTATTTGGCTCCCTTGAAATAATGAATTTGACAGACATGACGTAGTGAGTGTATACTGTATGAATCGCACTAAAATAACTACAGCATTAGACATCTTTCCACAATAAAATGGTTTCCATATAGGCTTCCGAAAGCCTGCGACGATAAAATCAAGAAACTAGAACAGTAAAATTTTGACTAACATCAAATTGCACATGAAGTTGTAAGTATGTTTATGCATAAAAGAAAACAAGCAGTGTATACGGAGAAGTAAATAATATTTAATTTTTAAAAATTATATAATAGCGTCACATTTCGGTCATTAACAAATTGATGTTCAAAGCTAAAACATTAACAAGCTTACATTAATAAGCTTACGTGACCACCTCGGCCCCTCACACAAACTGTATAACGTTTGTAAGTGCTTTTGAGGAAGTGATCAACCGTAGCAGATGTTAAAAACTAACATTCCTCCGTTAGAGCAATTTCCAACCATCTAAAACTGACTGGGGGAGGTAAACGTGCAGAAAACAGCACTCCTTAGGGCATCTCTATGACCTTTAGTGCGTTTAATGTCAAGGGAATACGAGGGCCACTCCATACGTGAAATGCCCTCATTCTCCAGACGCTTGTTAACGACGTTGTGTGGATGAGGATCGACAACAAGGGCCATATCTACCTAGGTTTTCAGTTCTGCTATTTTCGAAAATTTATAACCATTATTCCTGGTTACAACTGCCAGGTCTTTGAACATATTTCAAGAACTTGTACTTAGAAACCGGTTTGCGTATATTGTGGGCATTTACATACTAGTCTGTCCAAGAACTGTATTGCTGAACTTTTTTGCTTTAATTGCTTAACGCCTATTAAAGTTTCTAACAGTCATCATGACACTATACATGCTTCTAACTCGTCCGATTTATCAATCTCATCTGCCTTCTCTGTTACAAAATTTAAAAATTCGAATTCATGTTTTATGTTTACATTTGACAGAGTGAGCCAGTGAGTTAATGTTGCCATCATTAACCTGTGAGTTAATGTTGATGCTCACAGGTTAATACAAACATTTATCTATGAGTTAGTGTTGTTTCTTGTTATAATGTTTAACTGCTTTGTTAGTATGGATATAATAGAAGAATAATTATAATGAAACTTCAAAGCAGCATATTGAGAGTTGTAGTCAAATTCGAGAAATTACCAAATGATCAAAGCCAAACAAAAGAGTGGCATCTTATATTGACTATCCTGCTTCAATGCATCTGACATTACGCTACGGCTTACCATCTGCGATACGTCTTCTTTCAGCCATAGAGAGACGAATGCCATCAAAACCTATCCTATTAAAGTTATAAACCCCTCGTATCATTATTTTAATGAACATTCTCAAACCCTTCAGAATGATGGCGTCTTCAACGACTGCCTAATTAGTATATGAATCGGATAATCAGTCGTGATTGGATGCAACATACAATATTTGAATATTGTCGTATGCATCCGCAGCTATTATCAGCCTCTCAAATTCAACTACTCTTTTAAAAATTGCTGATTTGCATTTACTGCTTAACTCTTGGCAGGCAGTGTATTATCTGACCTAATTTTCCAAAGATCAAGTTCTCATCAATTCTATAGTTCTGTTTAACGTTGCATTTTAAGTTCTTACGTATTGAGAGCCAAAGTACATATATTTTGCTCCTTACCTCTTCATTATTTCGTTGTAAGAACAGATGAGCTTTTTACTTTTCCAAATTTTCGAAACTGAATTTTGAAAGTTATCAGATAGCGCTTTAATGCCAAATCTCGTTATTGTTTACTAGTTTTAACTGTTATCTGTAGAATATTAGCACCCAGTAGTTTTACTATTATGCATTTCTAGATAAGTAAATTTACATACTTTTCATTCAAAAAATATGTTTCAGTGTTAATACATCTTCCTTGTCGCTTTTCAGCTTAAGGAACGATCCATCTGCTTCGCTGAGGTTCACCAATACTGACAGGTAACGGATGGAGACCTTATGTAGCTTTGGAAAACAATCTCTTTTAGTCGCCCAGGTACTGGCAAAGGGGGGGGGGGTATTCGAAAGTTTGTTTTGCATTTTTGGAATAGATTAAATTTGAAGCTTTTTTCGAATAAATTCGAATGGATGAAATATTAAATTTATTTAAATCAGAAAAATAATCTAGAAGTTGCAATAGACATGTAAAAATATAATATTTATAATTATAAATTTTTTGAATGTATTCAGATTTCGCTGAAAAATTTAATATTCACGAAATCTTAGAAAATCTCTTAAAATGATTATCACGAAATTCGTTTTGCAATAAAATTGCGACCCTAGTTATAAATAGTGAGACAGAGGTCTGAAAGTCTGCAGTTTTCTAAGAAAAAGTGGCATTATTCCACTAACTACAGGTTTCTTGGAAAAAAAAACCTGTTAACTACAGGTTTCTTTGAAAAAAAAAAACCTGTTAACTACAGGTTTCTTGAAAAAAAAAACCTGTTAACTACAGGTTTCTTGAAAAAAAAAACCTGTTAACTACAGGTTTCTTGAAAAAAAAAACCTGTTAACTACAGGTTTCTTCCATCGTTGAAGCGAAATGAAGCTAACGTAATGAGGTATTTTCTTTAACACATAGAAAACATATGGTGAATGAAAAATTATTTAACATTTTATTTTCTAAATAAATGTGTGTTTCTAAATAAGTAATATGTGAGCACGTCACATATTACAGAACGTAGTCCGATCCTGTTTGGAATAGGTTGAATAAGTTGATAAAAAAATTATGGCTAGCTTTTCGAAGATGATAACTCAAGAGAACGAAATGCTCTCCAGATACAGAGAAGAATCCCAGTCAAGTCAGACACTTCGATGATTTAGTGAAATGTTGAATACACGCCGCATAACCGCCACGGAAACCAGGCGTAAAAAGCTGGGTAGGCATAGTAGTGACGTCAGGGGCGTTCCTGATAGGCTGAAAGTAAGGAGTTAACTAAAAATATCTCTGGATTTGCAGGAGGGAGAAAGAATTGTGTGAAATTTAGTATAAAATTAAATTCATAAAATGGTTATAACAATTAAGCCAAATAAGGGAAGATTTGAAAAACAGTGAGCACAAAGTAGACTAAAGAATGGATTGGAATTTAGGGTCATAGCCCAGAAAGATTTTTTGATGTGAGACGCCCCTAGAAAATCTAATTCATAAATGGAAGATATTTTTTGAATAATTTAGTCTGCAGAAAGATGGAAAGTGTGATTTTCTGATGAACAGTGCTAGGCAACAGAGAATTCCCGTGTTTCCTTTTTCCTGACATATGCCTTATGTTCTTCACTGTAAATTTAACTTTCGGGTCGTTTTTCTACTCTCAATAAAATTCTCTATTCCATACTTAAGAACTCCATTCCCTATAGGAATTCCTGGTGTATTTACAGGATTCCTTGCCATTGTGGCTTGATTTACATTGGTCAAACTAAGAGAACTTTAAATTTTCGTATTAAAGAATATGAGGCATATGTCAGGTAAAAGGAAACACAAATTTTCTGTTGCCGAGCACTGTTGATCAGAAAATCACACTTTTCTTTTTTCTACAGTCAAAATTATTCAAAATACACCTTCCATTTGTGAATTAGATTTTCTAGAAGCGTTTCACATCCAAAAAAATATTTGTGTACAGACTTTAAGAGACGAAAAACAAAAGTAAACTAATTTAAGTAAAGGAGCACTGTTCCGGGAGGCCTTTTTTTTATTTGCTCTAACGTGAAATTTATAATCCAGTAGTAGTATATTTTCATTATTTACATGTCCAATATTACTAAAAATTTCTTTACAATGTCTGCATGTATTTTGTTAACATTTTAATTTTATATTCTTTATGGATAGCACTATTCCTTACAAGCCATCTGCTAGCTATAATTTCTCTCAGTTGTTGGGCTAGCACTTGGTTTTCTAAATGGCACTTTAGAATAATATACTTTAATAAATATAGATATGCTTGATAACAATTGTCATTTTTTAGTGTTATTTGATGTTTAAAACTCAATTACGTATACATTTATTCATGTCATTTGCAAGAATCATTCAACGCAATTTGTTTTTAATTGCTTCTTGTCTCATACTAAATATGGCATTACAGATTTCAAATACTAAATTTTATCGTAAATCTAGGCCAAATTAAAAGTGCCTAGTTATGTGTGTTTCCATAATTATTTCTGAAACTAATTTCACAGTTTAGAATCCTGAAATGCTTTAAATGATATAAGAAGATGTCAGCAATACTGCTAGGCAGTATCAAATGAAAATATACTCACTCTGTAGTCGATGGATTTATCTGAAAGAAAAAATAAGGACATAAATTCATAAGAGTAGAAAACGTTAAACTTAAAATTTAAATTGTATCTTCGTATCACCATTAATTATTTAATAAGTTTATTATTTATTAAAAATTATCATAATTAAAAATTTATTCACTTTTTCAGTATAGTGATATGTTTATCACTAAGATATTATGCTTAATAAGATTTACTGCCAACGTAAAACTGTCATCATATTTTACTTTTGTAATAATTTGAAAACAGTTACTCAGAGCTCATAAATTAAGATAAAGTCAGTATTTTTATTGTTGAAAACATCTATGAAATTTGTTATGATCAGTTACCTGAAAAACTATGCTGCAGATATAGAGGATCAACAACTAAAGCTTGAGTAAGTTTGAAACGATCCTTTACCCTAAAACCAAGCATAGATTTTATTATTTATTCACTTCACTTGCGTTTTTCAGTATACTGTAAATATATCTAAACTCAAATACAAACTGCTCAAACTTTTACTTACCACATTGTAGAGCAATCAAAATTCACTAACATCCATTTGTTCGGATTCATATTAAATGACATGGCATACTGAAATCATAATAATTTAAATGTAAAGAAAAAGTAACTAAAGCATTGAAGTATTGTGTATGAAAATTATTAAAAACAAAAAATTATATAATATCTTTTAGGTTAATCAAGCTCTTACAGACGTAAGATCTAATTCATGTTCCAATTAATTTATATTTGTGTTTAGAAATGATATGAACTTCTAGCTTAGGAAAAAAGAAAATAGAATTTTTATGCTCCATATTTGTTATTTAGAAAACTAAAAATATACATAAATACATAAATTAATACTAGCCGCTACTCGGTCAGCCATCGTCTGGCTTTTAAATGTACCGGAAAAATGCTTAAAGGGAACACTAAATATTAAATTTAAAAACTGCACAGAATTTTACTCTTCAGAACAGCTTTACCAAAAATAATTTCAATAAAAATTTATTACATATAAAAAATCACAATGAAATAAGCAATGTTTCTTAATACAAATATAAATTATCCAAATAAATAAATTAACCAACTTCCAGTTGCCTTCTCTCGACAAACGTCCAGTATCCAAGAGAAACGTTAAATTAAAAAACTGCACAGAATTATCGCCCTCATTTTTACGAGTGGCAACAGTGCTAATATCTGCAACAATGGCAACAGTGATATATTAGAAACAATGGCTGCGTGCAATAGCTGCTGATATAATGAGAGAAAATTATCGATTTGATGCGATTTCAACAAAAAACGTAAAATTAAAAAAAAAAAAACTCTCATTCAAATTTTGAAAAAGTCGCTTCGAGGTGCAATGGCTGCTGTCTAGATGCACCCTATGAACCAAATTTCGTATCCCTGGGTCTATTAGCTTACGAGCAGCACGAACGTAAGACACACACACAGACAGACTCTTCCTTTTATTATATGTAGAGATAAAGCTCTTCACGCGTTACATTGTCTTTAAAGAATGGGCCTCTCTAGGAAATCATTATACTTTTATTTGTAAATTGAAGTTATGAATTCACGCTAATACATTGTAAAGCTATCAAGATAGGTCATAACATTTCATTATGTCTTAATTACTAAACTACTAAAGTAACGTATATTTATTTTTTATTTCATTGGTTTCTGTTTATTTACAAAAAATAATGATATTGCTTTTTTGTCTTATTTCAAATTAGTTGAGAATAAGCATCTTAGTTATTTTAATGAATCACCTGCTGTTCTAAGTTATAACACTTGTGTGTTCCAACTAATTTAGCGGTGATAATTACCATAAAAATAATGTGTTACGATTGTTCTATAAAGTGAATTATTAATATCAGAATAGCTAATCGTCAAACAAACAGTACTCAACTTTGATTAAAAAAACTGCTAGTTTTTTGTTACCTCACCACTCGGGAGCGTTCAAATTAAAATATACGAACACAAATTTACCAGACAACCTGGGCCTGGTTTAAAACTCAAAGTTTCCTTTCTGAAAGGATATAAATGCAACAAATTACATCTAATCTGAAACATTACTTAGCCCGTGACAGAATTTTGAACACAAATTTACCAAATAAGATCTAACCTATCTACTATAGTATTCCCAGCAAAACTAGCATTAGCGTCGCCTGCAGTCTGTTTACTTCAATCATGAGGGCAGCATAAAGCACGCTAAACTGTCACACTTTATTTGTAAATTTCCGTAAAATTCCTTGCGCCGAAATGCTTCTGGAATGAGCGAACTTCGTGTCAACAAAACACAGAAATGAAAGATCTTTCTCTTCAACTTTTCTACTCTCAGGGTGATCCCCTTTCCTTAAATTCAGTATTAGTTAAATTAACTTAAGTTTTTATTTTCAGCTTTGCCTGTCGTCTATGTCTGCCTTTGCCAAGGTACCTCTACTTGAATTCTCATTTCTCTGAACAGAGTGTCTTTTCTAAAATAAAATGTTTTAATTTGATCGACGTTCGTAGACGCTGTCTGTCCCAAATTCGTTTGAAAAATACTACATTACCTTTGATATTTTACCACTAAATACAGTCCTTGAAATTTGGGACTAAATTTACTTTTTTATTTTTTTTCTTCGTATAAGAGCGTATGATTGATTTTGAAAACTTTGTCTCCAATCATTATATCTACTATTATTAAAATACAACTTTTGCCTGTCCCTGGCGATTAGACTTATTTTACATTACCCTTGTCCTTATCGATTAACATTATAATGCCTTTTTGTTCAAACTCCGGCTTTCTCTCTCCCTCAGAAAATCACGTATAAAGTCATTATCTTTTTATCAAGAAATAATTCTGCCAGTGATTTTTCCGTTGTTCCATGTTTTGCGGATTGCAGTGAGTAAGCTAATTTTTTAATGTATAAATCAATCATTTTTAATGTATTCAAGTGCTGTGATATTTTCTCACATAACAATGGATTATCTGTACTATGTTTCTGTTTACGTGCTCAGCAATATTTAACGAAAGTCTGTTTGGGGTCTTTTTTATGCGTTTTATGTCCAGGTCTATGCACAGCTTCTCCAAATTGTTATTTACAAATTGCAGTCTATTATCTGAAATTATTTTTAGTTGAGCTCTGTATATTCAAAAGCAATTTTTAAAAGTTCGTTTGCTACAACACTATTTAAAGCACGGTCTAATGGTATTAGTGCGCACGGCTTCAAAACGATCAGCAATCACTAATAAATAACGTGTTTTATTTACTTTACTTCTAGCAAAAGGACTTAACAAATTTACTCCTAAAATTTCTTTTCGAAAATTATACAATTTAAGAAGCTCTCCGGACGGAAATTTACGTGTATACACATCTGGCATATGATACAGCTCTGGACAGATTGGCGTATAATTTGTTGCAACCTGAGGAAGAACACAGCTTCCTTCATTCTCTGTATTGTTGACCGCACCGTCATAGATGCTGAAATAGGATCGTCATGTAATTCGCGCAAAACTTATAGCACAAAAACGGCTGGGGTAAGTGGTCTTAATTCAAAATTTTCATTCATTGTTTTTATATAAAATAAAATATCACCGATTATTTCGCACGTTCGACCCTACCTCTAATTTCTATTACATTCATCGATTGAAACTATTAGGGATCTTTTAAATATGCATAAATTTGTCCAAATTCTCGATCCCTTTGAAAGTCCTTAATCCGCGTTTCCCTAGAATCTTGAACCACAGAAGTTAACATGTGTCATTTTATTTTATCGCCGTTTTCGTGAACTTAAATCTTGATAAAGCATCTGATATTTTATTTTCCCTTGCAATTAATTTCAGACTGAACTCTTCCAAATTCGAAGTCTTATTTAATCATAACTCGGTATTAAATGTTGTGTATTTTCCAACTTTCTTAACACCGCATGATCGGTGAGTATTTAAACTTCTTTCTCCGAGAAATAAACTCTAAATTTCTTCACTGCACACACTCATGAATGTGCTTCTGTTCTGTCACGGAATAATTTTATTCTGCCAGACTGATAGTTCTATTAAAACACGCTATCGAGGTCCCCTCTCGCATCAGAACTGCTCATATTGAAAAGTGAGTAAATTTGAAAGCTCACATATGGGTCGGTCATTTTCAAATCCGGGGTTATGATCTCTGCATGTTTTAGACTCTGGAAGGCCCTTTTCTGTCTCTTCATACTATATAAACATTACGTTTGGTTTTCTTTTTGTTCCAAATGGGGTCTGGAAATGTCTGAAAAAATTTTGATAAACATTTTCTAACACAAGCATAATCCGAGAAACTTTAGAAAAAAAAATCACAAAAAAAGGTTCACGTCCTAACATCCTAATTTTTGGTTCTACTTTAAATTATTACTTAAGCTATCATATAAGTTAAAATCAGCGCTTAATAATCTTTTTCCTTCACATGAAAATATATAAAAATCGTGCTTACTTTGAGAAATAATTTTCGGAAGTGCTATTCAAATTAATCCGAGGTTTTAATTGATTAAATACATTAATAAACTTTTGAATTAACAAAAAAATATAATAAAGACTGTTTACATGGAGAAGTAACAAAATCTTTCCTGTGAACTGGAAGGCAGGCACTCAGTGATTTCAGTATCTAACAAAATGTCCATATGAGAATCACTAGAAATATCGCTCTCTAACTCTTTACAAAATAAATCAACTCTCTCATTCATATCACTAATTGGCTCATTTACTATTTGGCTGATAAATAACGCTTGCTCGTCGTAATAAACTGAAGGCTTTCCAAAATAAAAGCGTAATAGTGCCTCAACTGAGAACTCTATAAGACCCTACATAGTAGCAAAAAATGAATAAAAAAGGATTCAAAGGAATATGGAAACGCGAACGTTTATATCACTTGACGAGTTAAAGAGATGAGCTCTGCCTGTTTATATTAGGCCACCCCCAATCGCGAGAGCTGACACCAGCGTTCTACAGAATGTAATCAAATTGAAGGTCAGGATCTTAAAACTATATTCAGTTCAAAAGTAATGGACACAAGACAATATCTAGTGGTCTCTAAAACGTTGCAGGACACTAGCACAAATGTGTGACAGCCGGGGGGTGAGCGAGGAAAGGCCCTGGCAGCGCAGCGTGTCGGCCAGGAAATAAGTGCGTTTCTTGCTGGCCCGTATACGTGACAGCTGACAATTAAGTCTTTATGTCTTTACTCTGGCATTTCTATCGGTAAAATCTTTTTTCCCCGAAATTCTCACCTTTTTTCACCCTCGTTCCGAAATCCATCATTTTTAATGCCTTGGTGGAAATTTCCGGCCTTGCTCACCAGCTCTATACCCTTTGTTTCTGCGAAAACCAATTCTTGTCTGTAAGTCAGTTGCGGTACGTCATTTAATGTTTGGACGCTTCTTAATTCTACAGATTCCCTCTACTTTCGCTAAAAATCGCGGCATTATTATCTCTTGCTCATTCCTATACAATAACTTACAAATCTCCATTTTTCTAAGTATAAATTTCGTTAGTTCCTCACCCTCCGTTAAAAGCTGATTATACAACTCCGTTTCTAATACTCCGTTTTCCACTGATGGTAATGCTTTCAACAGAGTTCGATGCACCACCATGGTCTAACATAGCCTTCCCAATAAATTTATACGAGTTTGCATTTCTAAAACTGATGCAACTATTACAAGCTTTGTGACTCCGGCATAGCATGCAACACAAAATTCATCTGAATTTCTTCTAAAAATTTTGAAGCCGACCCTGTTCTATGAAAGAGAACATTCTGCTTGATCGTCGACGCCCTAAATGAGTCTGTTAACCGCCCAAATACTTATAATGCATTTCTTCCTTGCCTGGTGTCAAATCTCGCTGGAGCCAACACATTTCTATCTAATATCGCACTTTTATCTGGTCTTTCATCCAAAACCACCATCTTTTCACAACTATCTATGCCACCAAATTAAACTTTATGCAAAATAAAAAAGTCCACCAGAGTTTGAGAGGTGAAGCCGCTAGTAGTTCCGACTTGGGTTTCATTCCAGGCGAATGCGCTTGCTGTATGAGCATTTTCGTGTTTTTTCCCATGTGTAACCTATATACGAGCCAGTTACCCATAAGAAATCTTCCACCAAAGAATAGATTCGTCCTTATTAATTCTACCGAGAATACTGAGTAAAACGATGAGGATAAAAATGATAAAGGGAAATAATAAATTGATAAAGGAAAAAAATAAGAGTTAAAAAAGCGCAAAAATGCTTCATCCTTTACCAGGAGACAGAAATTTTAATAAACTAAAGCAAAAATTTGGGCTAATGTTTCACCACCAAAGAGCACTGTAAGTTTGGCCATACGCTTTATTATAAATTATATACAACTCAATATACATCGAAAACTCCCGAGTGAGCATTTTTCTTTGATGAAAATTCCGCCTAAAAATACTTTAGATTATCTGGTGTAATACAAAATACATTGGTTTTTATTTAATACATTCATTTCAAACACAGTTAAAATTCAGTTCATGCTGCGCAATGTCATTAATTACTAAAATTTGCTGTAGAAGTAAAGTAACAGAATTTTTGTTTTTAATTTTTCTTTTTTTTAATGAGTATGTTACCGTGGAAGATCAATATTCGAAAATGTCGACATCTCTGCTGAATGTCAACACATAGTAAATACATCCTTGTAAGACCGAAATTTGATTACATTTTTATACATTCGGATCATCATCGATGTATGTCGACAAGCACAAGTATGATCTGGTGGAGGCCGAAACGAGAAGCCGAGAAGATAGAAGTGTTCTACGGCTAAATGCAGTTGTAAAAGCAATGCACGCCCCCTAGTGCAATTCAAAGTGTCGTAACAGATTAAATTGCTGCAATAAATAAGATTGTATACAGTCATAGAATTAAGTACGCTTATTTGTGTAATTTTCTTTTCTCATTTAGAATGTATTTAGAATGTATTTTAAATTCAGCAGTTTAGATAAATGAGCTGTTACTTAAACTTTCTCCTATTTTAACATGCATCATAATACATTTTAATAACAAAGTATGATTTAAAAAAGCAACAAAAATACTTGTATTCAAGATTCGTTATCAGTGTATGGTGAATGTCGACATTTGTTGGCATAAGTGAGAAATAATGGTATTTAGCAAATATTTCATTGAACTATTTTGAACGACATTGAACTATTTTATACTAAAAAAGACAATGCAAAGAAAAATATCAGATTATTTTCCAAAAACTCAATAAATGTTTTGTTTTTAAAAGAACTTGAAAATTTTGTATTAATTTTCATTAAGTTCTTGTGGATGTTTTTGTTTCATTGATTGTTATTAAATACATGCATCTATACATATCTATGTAAACAAACGTACCCTAATAAACTTAATTTAGTTGAATATATGTCTTTTATTTTTTTTTCAATATCCTTTAACACTAAATTCTTTTAACATGAAAATATATTTCAGTCCCCTCAATTTCGTGTTAAAAGATTTTCACTGTATATGTATTCATTAATATAGTTTGTTGTTTAACTGAATTTTTATTTTAATGGAGACTTATATTTCATTTCACTACGCTGACATAAAAGGAATACAATGGTAGTGTATGAATGTAGTGTAGGGACATCACTACCACATCATTGGATGTGTTAATGATGAAGTAGATGAGATAAATACACAAAAGCGGCGGTAGAAGCTGACTGGGTAATCCGACAGCGGTTAGCATCCACTATGTAGTATGTGAAAGCGTCGAATTTCAGCTTTAAAGATCCCAAGAGCTTCCTGGTAAGAGCTATCAGTACCGCAGTAAAACCAGTCAATTTATCTCAGAATATCTATCAAAATGTTCTCCGCGGATCTGTTTCTGTCAACTTGGTCAGCTTTACCACAGCGTTCCATGAAGCACAAGAATGGATAGAACTTTTTCCATAGTCATATGCAATACTTATCATCAACGAATCCATTCCATCACGAAATCCATTCCATCACCACGAATATTTATCATACCATCTTCACTTGTAGAAAATACCCTTTTGCTATGTTTAAAGCAAATACGAATTAGACGCTATACTTCACACTTATCTCGGGTGTAACCCACGAGTCCATTTTACAATGTATTAAACAGAATAATTTAATTATCAGTTAGTGATTAATTTTATTCTAAAATATTGTATTAAAAATCTGAATAAAATTTTTATTAATTTTCTCCTTTTGCTATGTTTTAAATCAAATAATACTTGTAAACGACTAAAAAAATGAAATTTTGATCTGATACTGTTCGAACCTACTCGTACTTCCTTAAATTCTAGTGAGTCTATATAGAGATTACTGAATGTTATTGAATGTTTTGGAAATCCAAAATGCATTTCGCTTTCTTTTTTGACAGTTACAAGCATCCAAATTTGCTTAAATTACTTAAAGTAAAATTATATTGTGCATGAAAATTTACTTACTTCTATTCCTTTCAGGAGATGTTTGAATTCGGGGCAAATTAAGGCACTGCCCGCATACGCCGCATCAACATGAAGCCAAACCCCAAATTTCTCACATATGGGTCCTATCTCGTGGATCGGATCAAAAGAACAACACGAGGTAGTCCCTAATGTCGCTGCGACCTATGAAAAATAAGTAAATTTCAAGTCAAAAACCCCATTTCTCGTTGAATTAATTTTGAGAAACTCTTGTTACATGGATTTCTAAATTTTTACTATTTTCTAAATTTGCATCAAAAAACTTCCTATTTTATATGGTGGAAAGTAATTTTATTTGCATATTTGTTTATTTTACATTTCATAACTTTAAAACTTTAAAAACCAACTTTAAAAATCATAAGATTACGAAAGAAGAATGGATATAATCATCTAAAATGTAACGTTTTTGAAATTTAAATAGAATTTCATCCGAAAAGAGTTAAGATAGCCGCATTTACAGTTTTTAGAGGATGAATGTTCAAGTAGTAAATTCCTAAATAACTAGCATATACCTAAAATTTTCAGTTCCAGCTAAAGATTATTTTGGGCATGAATATTTTAGGCGAAGCATACTAAAATCTGCTAGAAAGATGAATTTCTTCAGTAATATGGTGTAGGATTATGTTTCTTAACTAAGGTTCCCTAAATTCTTCTTAAGGGGTTATCACAACTGGCGACGCTCCCTGCTAGACGGGACTTTTCTGAGAAACGAGACTCTGGTAACACTGGTTTAAACGGGAGGATTCCTAGAAAAACAGCTCCAATGGACGCGAAGTCTTAGTTACGGAAACGATGTACCTGCTACGCGGGATTATTTGAAACCTCCCCGAAAATTTCAGATCAACCAATCAGATGAAAGCTCTGCTTCTGAAGGATCATGTGATTCCAATCTGAGCGATAATCGATTACTGTTTGGCGTTCAAGTCTGTTTAGTAAGTAAAAATTGTAACCCAACCATGGAAATATGCGGGTCTGAGAATTGTCCCTTTCGACGTCCAGTCCCGCATTGCCGAAGCATATGTTATTGAAACTTAAGAATGGAGGAATAAAAATTTTTTATGTTGGATAACTGATGTTATACCATTCTTACTCAATCTTCAGTCACGTTTCTATAAAGTAGAGACGGAGAGTGCGTTCGAAATTAATTCTGCGAATGTGGTCGTACCGTCCTAATAATATAATATTTAGTTTTGGTGACTGAAGAGAATGTAAAAGGTAAAACATCTTATTAACCTGTCTAGCTGAGATGTATGAGTAACGTAGCGATGATGTATAAATGATACTTTCTGCAGGGAACAATGTTCGCGATATAAGGATGGACTTTTTTGTTTAAAATGGTTACGTAGAGTGCTTGAGAGTTAGGTCAAGCATACAAAAAGCCAGCTGATTTTTACATAGAAATATATTGCCAAAAATCCCACTCACGCATGCCAGAGAACATTGTTTGCCCTACCAATCGTGAGCAGCTTGAATTATTACCATTCGAGCCTGTGCAAATGTCCTTCTCGCAGAAATCATTGTAATGACAGGCATTTTTGAAAATGTTTACTGACACATGCATCGAAGTGGCTGGGATATTGCTAAAGTACAATGAAGTTATTTTAAAATTTTAAATATAAATACCTCTAATAAATATATTTTACTCCTTTGTATGGTTTTTCTCCCTCCCTGCTGCATGCCTTCGGGGTGTAATTGGGAAGCTCGTCGGGGTAAATCGGAATGTGCCGACGGCGCACTACACATTTTTCACGAATCCTGCTTTAACACAAAGCTAATGACCTTTAACATTATTTATTCTACCCGTACATCTAGTCGCTAAAGTCGGTTCTAATTTGCATTCCCCTGCGTGTGTTGCTGTGGCGGAAACGATTAACACTTTCATCTAGCAGATGGAAGATTAGAGGTTCAAACCTCGAGTAGGGCCCTTTTGTTATTTCATATTTCCTGGCATTGAATAATTTCGAAGCCAGAAAATTTGGACAAACATGAACGAACTTCTGTGATACGTTCTATATATTTCGGTCACAGTATAAGGTATTTCTCCCACTTCCCTAGCGTGTCTTTGTGGTGTAACGGTAGCACGCTGGGCCGGTATTCCAAAGGTCCGTGGTTCGATTCCCAGCGAAGGCGTTTGCTATTTTTCATCTTTTCTGCCTCTAAAAAAAATCCTAATGACAGCAACAGGAGCACCCTTTCTATAGGCTTCAACAATTAGCTTTCTTTGAATCTGTGATCTTGGACACTGCCACAAGACTCCGAGCATTAAGTGCAACAGGTGGGTTGGTGTAAACATTACCTCAGTAGCAGATTTCTTACTAACCTTATGTTGTAAAAACTTACAATATTACACTTATTTGGGGAAAAAACAGGGCTGATTCTTAGACAAGATATTTTACTGCATGAATCGATCACATAGTACAACTTGTAGAGACATTAGGTATATTTTTGGAAGCAGAAAAGATGAAAAATAGCAACCGCCTTCGCCGGGAATCGAACCACGGACCTTTGGAATACCGGCCCAGTGTGCAGAACCAATACACCACGAAGGCACGCTAGAAAAGCCGGAGAAATACCTTATAAACTAACTGTTTTATGTAACATAATTTACAGTTAAATTCTGGACACATCATCTTTACTTCCGTCAGTTAGACAAGAACTTCTCTTCTGTCTGTTATATCATGTTTCCAAACACGTGCATGAGTAACTACCATATAGCAGTGCAGCATATTCACGTGCCACCATAAATGTATCCGTGCATGACAGACATATTCATTCACTTGGGCAACTGGGCAGAATAATGTGTAGAAAGCATCTACGTCTGTCTAATTCTTTGATAAGTTTTTGGCCACACAAGAAATATAAATAAATATAAATAACTACAGTACCATCTGCATTTTCAAGGAAAAACATTTGTCATGTTTAGGTGTTCCCAAATTTTTATTTAACCCTTGTGGTAAAATGATGTTTCAATGGCATGTTACGTTTCCTCGCTGTAGGACTTATTGAGCCCTTAAAGCAGAAACATAAAAAAAACTTAACGAAAATGCAATTAAAACTAGCAACGAAAATAAGAAATAATTTTTCAAAAAAATCTATATTCTTAGAGAAAAGTGTCCTGAAAGAAAATAAAAATGAGAAGTCATTTGTCTTTTCGTTTCGCACAGAATAAGATTTTTATGACCGTTTTATTAAAAGTCAGAGTACACTTTTATTTAGTGCAGTTGTAAGAATTATTTTAGTTCCTGTGTTGTTTCTTATGTTAAATTTTCCCTAAACTTCTACTGCTTCGTCTACTGTAACAGAAAAGTTACGAGTTGAATTTAAAGAAAAATTGAGAGTTGAGTTAAAGTGTAGATAAAGGGAGAGCTTTGGCTATCTGGACTTGGAGCGCTGTTAATCATGTTTCTTCTTTCTTCTGATGTGCTGACTGTGGATCAGTTAATGTTGTACTTGGTTTTACATGAGAAGAAGCTCAGGCGAAAGGTCCTTAAAGACTTTTATTTATAATTATCAACCATTATTGTGTTAACTGACCTCAAAGAGCAGAAATTTAGCTTTAGCTGTAAACTTCACGATGAAGTACCGATAAATATTCTAGCCGTTTTTATGCGTTTGTTCTGACAATTCGTTTTCTAAGTTATGAAGGGACGAAAAGTCACCCGACAATCTATTAAGGCTATTCAGTTTAATTTAAGTAAAATTAGGATGCAAATATTTTGCATAATAACCGCTGAACATCTTTTTGCCATTTTTTATTTCCGTAAATGGAACAACGTAACTGCAGTTATTTTACAGTTTCCTCTACAGTGATACAAATAACTGTCTTGTGCCAATAAATGTGCTGGTACCCTCAAAGCACGTTGTTTAAATGATAAGAAAAGACGACTTGTTGATGTTATGTAAACGAATTTGGATAATAAACAGTGTGCTCGTCCTTCATTATCATATAAATGCGAATATTGAAGCACATAAATCTCTATTACATGCATGTAATGTTTTCTCATTAATAAACTCTCAGGCAATATATTTAAGCACGCCCACCTCTCGCTTACGATCACTACTTCATGAATCCTTTTTGTATGACACAATATTTACAGCTATTGATGTCATGCAGACTAAACAAAGATTTTGTGGGATGTCAATCGTATTTCTTGAAACAATATTTTACCTGATCTTTCTTTGAAATTTGGAATTTTCCCCTTTTCCGGAGAACAAGCAAGAGTTCTTAAACGGTTTGAAATTTGAAATCAAGTTAATATGAATCTATTCTAGGGCTTAAACACAATTTTAGAGAAGATAAACTGTGCTGGATATGCGATATGCGGTTTGCTGAGATACTTTTAAAAGATCATATCTTCATACAGAAGAAGATTAGCAGTTAAAAAGAAGAAATTCTTCTGAAAATTGCATGATAGTATTGGGCATTAACATTCCCAACCACACGGATTCAAAACAGCAGTGCTAGGATTTATGATTTGGTTGCTCGTACTCCAGACAAATCGCTAATCTTATAACGTGGCTAGGAACTTTACTCCTTGCTTCATACAATTTGGGGCAAGTCCTTCATTCAGACGATGGGTATTTTCTCCAGCTTGTTGGTCCAATATTTCTGTATGGAACTGGAAACAGCAATTTTCAGACTTATTACTCTGCCCTCCTAAGCCTTCAGAGAGGACAAATAGTCTATGGCTCATATGAGGGTTAGTAAGAAATGCAAAAATTTCTTTTCTTGGGAGATGTCCCAGAGGTTAGTCGAATATGCCATCCAAATATGTATCGCGATGGCCAGTTACGGTTTCAATATGCTCCTCATCTTTCTCGGTCTTCGTGGCTCCGAGAGTGTTGACCCTGGGAAGACGGATCAATAGGCATGTATTAGACAGAGATCAATTTTTAAAATTCGCAGTCTGTGCATTGGGAACCTGAAGGCACTATGGTAAGCGAGTTCTTTTATTCTCTTCTTGACATGATGTCCACTTCCTCCAAATTTGGAAAAGTTTTAAAGTTTGGGAGTCAGTTCGTGTACATCGAGCGATGCACAGTGTCAGAGAGATGCTTCTAGAAATGGCCATCTAGTATGGAAGAACACGTAATTAAACTTATTTTTTATAAGAAATAGTCTTGATTGCAACAGGGAATGTAGAAGCTAGTTTACCTGAGAAGCCATTTCTAGAAGCATCTCTTTCAAACTCTGCATCCCACGAATGCTTTGATGTAGTAAATTACTTATCAAACTGTCTTTAATTTGCAGGTTCAAATAAATAACATTAGTGATTTATGTTAAATGTTACGTAGAAAAAAAATTTTTTTTCATTTAACTTTTATCTCTTTAAAACTGACTACTTGGTGCCGCGACACAAAAAAACTAAACTAAACTAACATAATCAAAACTTTTAAATCTTAAAGAGACATCAAAGAAAGATATCCTCCCTGGTGTTTTGGTAGAAACACGATTAATTGACAATAACAAAATTCGAAAATTCACTTCCACAACAAAATCTTTAACACGCTATCTCTCACTAAATTAAAACTAATTTAGATCTCCAACCTGAAAACACATAAATTTCAATACAAAATCAAGAGATAGCCCTAAACCCTAAACACTTCAAATACCACACAGATCTCTTTAAAACACCAGGGAAAGATACAATCTCACTATTAAGAAGTCTGCTTATCAAATTAAAATAAATTCAGTAAACAGATCGTATAGTCACCAACACTAAAACTGATTTTTTCCTTTTCCTACTACTGCAATATAATTACCCAGGGTTCGGTTGAAAAACCATGTTTCCGTAAGGATCACATGGGTGACCTACAGTAGACCACAAATTACTACACAAAAGAAAACATACAATAATAAAAATAATAAACACATTTATTGACGATTCCTACGCATTATAATTTAAGATAGCTGGCCAGACTACCCCTACAAAAATCTTTTAAAAGTTACTCATAGATTTTTCATATTAATCTCATATTTAACATAAATCCATTAATACAAAAATCATAGTAAAACACGTCACAGTTCTTGATCATTTTAAACAGGAACTCAAGAAGATTAAACTCATTTAAAAAAAACTAATTTAGAAAAAATCATATCGAACATAGCACTTAAACATTAAAACAAAGATTCACTTCCTCCAATTAGTTCAATTAACTTCTGACTATTAAACATTAAAAAAATACCTTCTCAGCTAGAAATTTAGTAAAAATATTCAATTTTTAATTACTTAACATGACAGCTCTTGCTTTAGTATTAAACATTTCCAAATTTAAAAATATTAATTATCAAAATAAAGCACCAATGAAAATATAAAGTCACTCACGAGATCCGAGTACCACCTTTGAGAGACACAGGGAGCAGCCCGGATTCAGTCACGAAACGTCGAAAACATAACAGCCAAATCTTCATCGTTGTTTTCAGGAACCGGACTTTTCATAGTTCCAGCACTAACCTCCGTCAAGCAACATTTTAACTCAATCAACTTCCCGATTTCAAAGTTCCACTGAAGATAAGAGAAGGAGGTCGAAACTGGAGACAACAGACCAAGGCAGACCTCAGGAGATGACGACTTTCCATATTTCCATAATTTCTAAGGCAAAATAGAGACTCCAGCACGAGCAGTTCAGATTCTTACACAATTGGGAAAAAAAATCTCATCGACGAAAACGAAAATAATAAGCCGCAGTTCAAGAAATGCCGCCGTCAACACCACGAGCACCCGCACCATTTCATACAAGACCCCGTAATCAGAATCTCGGAGATAATCAACTTATTTGTAAACCGCGGTCGACCCCGAAGAACCGCCGCGTTTCCATCCCAGCACGTCACAGACCGCGGCCGGCCCCCATGGGGCCGCCGTCAAAGAGGCACACCCGCTAAGGCTCCAAAAAAATCTCCTAAAAAGGTCTCTTTCAGTCTAAAAATCTCATCTTCAGTCCCAAAAAAAGATCTCTCCTGCCTCCCGTGCAACGGCTTATGAAACCTCTGATGACACGCACCAAGAAACGCCTCAAAATCACTATTGGCTCAAACAACACTAAAATTAAAAATTTAGCCAATCTTAAGGAAACTCCTTAAGATTAGATCCTTAAGATTAATCCTTTAGACTCCCTCAGCCACTTGGAGGAGAGGTAATAAATAGCCTGAAAATTCTCAGAAATACAGAACTTTCTACAAGATGACATACCCTTTCTTTCCCACGCAACAGAAGAATGTTTCCAACCTATAACTCTGTCAAAATATCGCCGCCCCTCAGAACTATTCGCCTCTGAACGATTAAAACACGTGTTTTCAACCCCCGCGAAAAGAGGAAAATGCAGCTGGACAGTGACCTCTAACCTCCAAAGAAGCCGACTCGTGAGAAACGGAATACCCGCGCCCTTTTAACTGTAACACAAATTCTGCCAAACTTAAGGGAGCTTTGCCGTAAAGTTTAACAATATTAAATATTATACATTAATTTAAAATAAGCTCAATACAAATTCAATAAACACAGTAAAATAATACGCAATAATTATACACAACAAAAAATACATAAGAATCTTCCATAACATAAAAATACATTTTCAGAATATAACTGCAAACTATGCTATTATAGGGACTTTTGAAATTTCAAAATTTACTTGAACACTGAATTGGATCATTCACAGTAAAAGAGAATTAGAAAACCAAAACTAAATGCTCTATCATTAAGAATAAATTGAGATTTTTGTCTGAAATATAATAATAAATTTCAACTTACAAAAAAAGGCTTTAGTCCCATATTACGATCCTCCTAGAACCAAAAAAGAAAGGGCAATGTAAGATCATGATTGATGTACTACCGTTCACAAATTATTTTCTCATAAAAGGCTAATTACTCATTATTTACTCATACTGGAAAGAAGATTTTCCTGTACCTCCATTGCCTTCGCTAATGTAGCTCCCCGTAGCTGAAATTTTTCGTCCGTGTCGAGTATTCGAAGTTTTACGAAACCGATCATAGCAGCTTTCTCGACACTTGAATGGGCCTAAAATAAAGGAAAAACGTTAAATATTTATTTGCCGTAGAACTTCGCAGAAGGCTAATTTTGCGTTACATTGTTATATATACAAGTCCTCTAAAAATTAAGAGAGAAAAGTTTTTTTATAAATAAATTATAAAATCAACAACGCAAAAAGCATGAATTTCGCACTGTTGTTACTAATAAAATGATTCATTATATTTTGGTCAAATTTATAAATTTTAGATAAAATGGTAACTGCTTTTTAAATATTACATGTATGGAAAGAGAAAATGAATACTTTAGGAAGAATGATTGCAGAAATATATCTCGTCGTAGAATATGTTCTCCCCTGTCTTAAATATAAGGACTCTCCCATATTTTAAGATATGTTTTCTCCAGTTGAACTTAGAATTCCATGTGCTCTTAATACCCCAGTAGGAAGAAAAGTCATTCCTTGAAAACGTCAACACAACCCATTTTTATAGAATGCACAGAGAATCTGGGTTAGTTATTTGCTGTAGGTAGTATCCCTATTAATGGTTCATTTGACTGAACTAATGGTCGATATGACTGAAGGACTATCGCGCTGTCCGCTTACTCATCACTTTCAAGATGGTGACTAGAGCTTTTTGTCGAGATCAACATCATTTATTAAAAGGAAGAATCATAAATCGCACCGGGTGTTGCCATCAATAATTTTTTTCATTACATATGTGAGAGCTTAAAGTTCTAGAAATAAATAAGCGCGAAGAAAGAGAATATTAAGTAATATTCTTATTTATTTATAGTCAAAGGTAACCCTGCCCAAACCTCAATATTTCTGCTTCTCACTGCTCAAATTAATCCCTTTTCAAATCATAGTATTTCTACTTTCGCACATAAAATCCTCACATAAGTTCTAAATTGGCTATATCTCGTTTCTTTACGTTTTAGCTGAAAACAGAGCACGAATAATATTGTAACCTAATTCTGAAAACCTGAATCGCTCATGAACTTCACTTATATTCATTATGTTTACTCCAAAATATATATCTAGCCAAAATAATTGAGCAGCTCTACGTGATTGATTATGCGGAGAGCAAACTTTATAGCTCGTGTTACAGGAAGTCATTATAAAGAAATGTTTCTTAAAACACTAGCATAAATTATTTTCTTTTTCCTAAATGGTAGTCTAACTATAAAGCAAATGTTATGTTTCTTCTCTTTGAGAGAAAAGTCAGGAAAAATTTTCAGAAAACGCTGTAATGAGTGTATGACCGGACATAATTAGTATTCAAAATCGCAAATTAAGTAAATCCATTTTTATTTATTCAATAATTCTGTACTTTAATTCATCTGGTAGATGATTTAATTGTGACATTACAGTAGACTGTAATGCTGTTGATTGTGTTACAAGGAATTTATTTCAAGCAAAATTTGAAGAACAGCTAGCAGAGACAAACGTATACTAAAATGTAACTCAGAGAAACTCCGCTTTGGGTGAAAGTACTTACTGTTTTTATGGAAGCAAGGTTAGTTTATATTTTCTCTTTTGTTTAACTACTTTGCTATTGCTTCCATGAAATATACATATTTTGCTTTTGTTTAATCAATTCTTCAGAAATTTAGAGGAAATTCGAATTTCACTTTGACTTTTATAATGTCATTTCTGGCTCTGTAAACTTTATCGGTATCTTTTAAATTTTCAAATCTATTAAACATGCCATACCTGTTACGTCAAATATATTTATTCACATAAGATGTTTGCAGTAACTGCAAACAGAAATTCTTTAGTCTTCGTAGTTTATAAGAGTGCATGATCTTCTGAGTTAAGAAACATTTCTGAGAATAACTATTAACAGCTTCAATATCACAGTATTATAAGGTATTTCTCCCACCTTCTTAGCGTGCCTTCGTGGTGTAGTGGTTCTGCACGCTGGGCCGGTATTCAGAGGTCCGTGCTTCTATTCCCGGCGAAGGCGGTTGCTAATTTTTCATATCTCCGGCTTTTCCAATTAACCTAATGTCTCTACAGCATAATAGCATTAATTTGTAATTGAAGAGGTCTGGAACTCTGTTCTTTGAAATAAGAATACATTTGCAATAATACTCATCAACTAAAGTTGATTTTCGGAGTGGTATGCAGGCTTCTTATACACACTGACAAAGTGTCAGACTATGTTCTGTGACGCTTAAAATGAAAGACAATTGCACTGCCACGCCATCAGAAGAAACACTACAGAATGGACAAAACTAAGGATGAAAGAAGTCATTGACATTCATGCTCAGTGGTCAGCTTGATCCTTCTTATGAAGATTTGTGAATTCCCGCAGAAGATATCCATGATCAAAGCAACACTTTATAAACTGAAGGAAAGCTTAAGTCTCAATAACTTTTGATAATTTTTGTGCAGTAAGTAAATCTTACCTAACTCTTTAATAATTACGTTTTGTAAGTTGTAGAGATATTAGATATCTTTGGAAGCAAGAGAGATTGAAAAATGAGCAAACGCCTTCACCGAGAATCGAACCACGGACCTCTCGAATACCGGTGCAGTGAGAAAACCACTACACCACGAAGGCACGCTAGGAAGGAGGGAGAAATACCTTACATACTCCCCCTTTTAAAGGGCGACTGGGGTTTCTAGGGAACCTAATCGCCAAATCATGGATGTGGAGAGTCACCATCCGCAACCCTTTTAGTTCGGGCCCCACTGTAGAGACATTAGGTTAATTGGAAAAGCCGGAGAGATGAAAAATTAGCAACCGCCTTCGTCGGGAATCGAACCACGGACTTCTGGAATACCGGCCGAATGTGCTGACCACTACACTACGAAGGCACGCTAGGAAGGCGGGAGAAATACCTTATAACGTAATGAACTTTACATCAGCCAAAAAACGTTAACAACAATTTTTAATAAGATAAAGGTCTTATTTTTGTATTCAAAATAACTCATCCGATTGCTAGGTGTAGATTCAATGGCTGTAGTTTTTTTCTTGCAGTTTGGTACTATGCTTTAATAACAGGTCCTATTCCGGTGAATTATGAGAGCCGGGTGGTGTTCTTCTTAGTAGCGTTCCTATTTAAACTTCAACTGTCTTATTCAAATATATCTGGAGCAATTGCACTGAACCACAACACTGGAGGAAACTCCTGACAATGCTCTTGAAATCTCCTTTGTCTTCTTCGTAAAATGCCTCTTCGATCGCCTCTTCTGCCTCACGTACATCCTTTTATTTGCAATAAAGGGGTGTACGTAATCAGATGATGTGTTAGGTAGGTATGAACCACCAAACTTCTTCAATGGAAATAGGTACAAGATTTTAAAAGAAAATATAGTTCTTGGCATCGCACCCTTCTTCTCTCGCCTGATTTTCTAACAAGTGGGTCACGGTGAAAAGGGTAACTGACTCACTCTAACTTCTACTTTCATACAGTGAAAGAACGAAAGTGATTCAACTGTCCATGCGACCCTCATCTAGTTGCCCGATGGTCCAACATTGGTTCATAAGTATGGTTGCAAACGCTTACAGCACTAAACGGTTGGTAAGTGTAAGCTCATGAAATGGATTCGAGGGCCAGAAGACTTGTTCCTAAGAGAATATGGAGTGTTCATGCTTGCGGGAGATGTCAGCCATAGTATCATCTACGGCTTTTGACAGAACAAGATAGCCTACCTTCCTCGTCAAAGATTTCTGCAGAACTCACTTCGACTTAGTTCTGAGATATGTGATGTCTCAGGCTTTGCAGACAAAACAAGGTAGCCTACCTTTCTCGTCAAAGATTACTGCAGGACTCACTTCAGCTTAGTTCTGAGATGTGTGATGCCTCATGATTAACCCCTTCCGGTACGAAAACCCCTTTGCTTTTTATTTTGAATGCATAAATAAAAAATATTTAAACATTAAATTTTGGAACAATATTGAAAGAACTTTTCACACCATTTAACTGAAGTCAATTCTTCACACCAACCATAAATAAATCTTGCACACTTCATGAATCTCAACACTCGGCGACTTTATCGCTTGCACCGGCGAAATGGAAATTTGCGCCGGCCAAACGGAAAAGTAGCCGTTTTTCCTTTACAGTAATATATATTGACCGATGCTCACACTAAATTTTTACAAGAATGAAATCTTGCAGACTAACAACAATTTGGCCGTGACTTGTACCAAGAAATTCTAACGGTAAACAATATGTGATAGGATGTGTGGTATTTCCACAAGTAAAAAAGGTGTTGCCAAATTCAGTACACTAGAAATTTTAAACTAAATTAATTATCATATTCAACAGTATGCAGGACCAGTGTAGCTCGTCATTGTGCGATATGGCATGAAAAACCAATGACGAGAGTAGCTCGTCATTGTTCGATACGGCATGATAAACCAATGACGAGCTAGACTCGTCATTTTACAGGAAGGGGTTAAGTGTTGTAATAGCGACTTAACTAGCCATGCTGCAAATTACCGTGGATGTTCCAAATTTCCTAAATTCTTAATTTTTAACTCAAACCCAAAGCCTAGTACGAACTCTACGCATACTCTTTATTTTGTTGTAAACTCGACAGCTATTAGTGACAAAAGTTCTTATGCTGACGTGGTAAAAGGTGAAAAACGTTTTCGTATGCATTCGAGTGAAGAAAACGCTAATCAGTCTACCGTTTTTTAACTTTGGTGAATTTTCGCAAATACTGAAGGATATTTTTGGGCTTGTTAAGGAACTGAGTAGTATGTTCAAGAGCATATCTTTGCATAATATAGTTAGTAAAATAGCACACCGCATCAATGAAATTAAATCATTGATCATTTCATTGATCACTGAAATTAAATAACACTTTGGATAAGCTCTTTATTATTTTTTCTATTTTTGGAAGCATATTTAATGTTAATTCAGAACTCAAACAACAAACATCAGCGTTATATTTTCGAATTTTCACAGGACTAGTTTCGATGGTTTTACCGAACCACCATCTTCAGCTGCAAAAACGCAAATGGAAATTTGAAAATATAACTCTGATTAAGACATAATAACACGCCGAA